TATGATTCTGTGACATACTTTGCCTTCTCTTATTGGATATCTATATCTGAATGGGTTAGACACCCCAATTTTCTCCCCATCGAGCTGGTTTACAACCCTTATCAAGAAGTTGGAAGGCAATGGCAAAATGCCATCTTGAGAAAACAAATACATTATTCATCTTTTCATATATTTATAAAATAAATAATTATTGGCAGGAAGTATTTCACAATGCAATTTTCTTCCCCCTTAAATAAAAGCCTACTGATTACTAAATATGGAATGGGATATACAGATTGATGGTGAAGGGAACTGACTTCTTATCCTACTCCTAGAATTAAAGTAGGATGATAATAGATCAAGTAGAATAAAAAACTACAGGTGATTTTCAAAATTCATGGATCTTACAGATGTTATCTTTGGTCATGAAACTCACAGTGACTTAATATTCAGTTGATTATGTTGTTTTTTCCATCTCTTTGATCATCATTGCTTCTACTATAACAGTAGGTTAAAATTAAAGCAGATCTATATGAAAAAAATCCATTATTTCCATTAAATCTTGATTTCTGTGAATGATAAATATATGAATTAATATCTGAAAAGAGAACATAATAGAATGTGTTCAGATATACTTGGTGCTTGATATTGTTTAGACTTCAGGAGTAATTGGCAATCGTTAGTAGCAGGTACAGTGCTATCTAACACTTACTTGCTCAGTATCTGTGTTACTTAAGGCAGAAGAAATCCGCTTCTTGTTTTCCCCTGATTTTCAGGTCTGCTCCACAAAACCTAGTGACATCTACTATTTACCATACCCTAGGCTGGCCATCAGGCAAGTGGTGGCTTGGTCCTCATCCTCCAGATTTTCACAGCCCCATGGGAAAGCAGGATGTGGACACAGAGTGAAACAAGTTTAATGGTGCTGTACAGAGTAAAGAGGAAGTAGTGTTTAAGGGAAGTTCGGGGAAAGACTTTATAGAAATAGTGATTCATGAGCAGTAATTTGATCAAAAGTTCATCAGACGGACTCAGAGAAGACTGACAGAAGAGAGAGAATTATGTGAAGTCACAGGACAATTAAATAGCTGCATGAGTGTGGGTACTTAGTATTGCTGTGATGTAGTCTGGGGATGTGGGGGACGAGGAATTGAAGTGGGAGAAGGGCAAATGTGATTGTAGTAAAGAGAAAGGAGGGTCTGAAAATGAGTCTTAACTGCCAAGTATCAGGCCTTGCATATTATTCTTAGTTGATGGAGATGTTGAAGGTTTTTGAACATGTCATTTCATAATCGGATTTCCATTTGGAAAGATTAGTTGCAGTTGGCTTTTGGAGAATGGTGTGGTGAGCCAGATTGTATAGTAGTTAAAAGGATAATGCAATAGTTTGAGTGATGAGATGGTTTTCTGGTGTAAAATATTCTATTGATTCATAAATATGCTACCACATTTTAAAATGTCAGCAAATTGAAATATTTTTAGTATGCAGTAGAACTAATTCATTGTGACTTTTATAGCTTGAAGTTATTCATGAAATTAATAGCAGTGAAAAGTTGAAAGGGTTGCTATTTTGTTAGTGAAATTAAACCACTAAACTTGTCACAAGTCTCCTAATTTTCTATATAATGTGGAATATAACTTTACAAAAATGTAAAGAAATGAATTTTTGATATGGACACATCTAATTATTTGTGAAAATTATGAATATTTGAGAACAGCCGAATGATGGTATGTGGTAAGTACTCAGTAAGCATTTGTTGAATTTCCACTTGAATCTTGAGTGTTTTAACTAGTACTTTGTATCCATTTTAGCCATGAAATAATAGACTTGATAGTTTTTCAGCAAAAATGTTAAGTCCCAAATCAAAAAAGAATAAACATATTTGTTAGAGAACATTAAATAGTCATATATGCATGTAAAATTGTAACTTTGCAAAAATGTACTCAAGAGATCCTTAGAATTTGTGTAATTGGAAAAACATGTTAAAAATAGCTTTAAATTATCTCACAAACAGTATGGCATATTCCTATCAAACTTGATTTTTTTTAAAGTTTTTTTTTATACCTTTATTTTTATGTGGTGCTGAGGATCGAACCCAGGGCCTTGCACGTGCAAGGCAGGCACTCTACCACTGAGCCACAACCCCAGCCCCCAAACTTGATTTTGATACATAAATCCTTAGTTCTCAGTTGCCACAATAGGAAACAAAAGTCAGAGTTGAGAAAAATAGAACACCCACAGCAGCTTAGTGGTATAAAATAGTAGATTGCTCTATCTTTTAAAATTTGTACCTAAGATTTTATGTTTATTCAAGTACATGTGATAGTACAGTATGGAATTAATAAAGAGTAGGTTGTATGTATCAAAATCAAATAATGTAATAATGATCACTTTCTATTAGTCATTATCTGCAATTCAGACTAATGCTCAGAAAATGGATTCATACTGATTATTAATTAAACTTCCTTTCATTTTATGTAGAATATTATCAGTGCATATCATTTTAGTTTGTAAGATTATTGTTCTGTATTTGATGTCACATTATATTTCAGTTTCAGAGATTATATGTGGTGTTAGAGGTTAGAATGAATTTTGTTTCTTGATTTTTTAGAAGTATTTACAAAAACCAACTTTTTGTTATAATCTGTATTTCTTTTCTCATATCATAATTGAATGTACTACTCACTTTCAGGAAAGTTTTTAGCAAAATGTATTATTACTTCATACTGAAACTTAACAGGTTGTTTTAGGGGAGTCACTGGTGACATGTTTTAAAGCAGAAATCTTTTCATGCTTATTTTTTGCTATTTAATGAGATATCAGGTATATTTTAACAAATGGGGTTTCCCTGATGAATCATTAAAATGAGTGAGTGGGCTGGAAGGTAATACTGGCTTTTCTCAGCACTGCCCTATTTTACTCTGCTGGATTATTGGTTACTTTTTAATTAAAACCTGGGTGTGTTGGAGTAAGTAGGTGGAAGTGCAGAACAGAAGGGGGAGAAAGGGTAAATAAGAAAATACCAGGTAAACCTCTGATGACCTATTGGGAAAGCCTAAGCCTACTCACATTTTACTTTCCCCAGCTTAAACCATTTAGTGTTAAAACAGTGCTCTTTGCTCTGCCAGGCTTAAGTTTCCAGATAGTATATACAGGTAAATATAAAATGTATTTTCAGCAATTGATCAAAGTTTTCAGACATCAAGCTATGTGTAATCTGTGGAATCAATTTCTCATGTGTGTGGGATTAAAACTGTTAAAACCATTGTCACTGAAACTGTACCTTCCTACAACTAATAGCAGTAAGGTGTCTATGGAATATATTAATACAATAATTCCCCTGATTTAAAATTATTACAAGGTATTAGATTGGAAAATTATTTTAACAGTGTAGGTACCTGAGTTGAAGACTAATTATGGATATCTAGTGATTTGGGGTTTTTCTTTTAACAATATGATACATTTGTATTTAGCACATCTTTTTCAGTAGACCAGTAACATATTGCAAATTTCCTTTATCTATACTGTTAAACATTTTTTTCAACTACTACAGCAGTTGTAACTGCTAGAGGAGGTAGACAAAAATGTAGTTCACCTTGAAAATGATCATGGCTCAGGGAATAAAGAAATTGGGTCAAGCCTAAAATAAATGCAGGTATAATGACAGAAAGTTTTAATAAAAATTTAAAAATATTCACAGCATTGGTTTCAGGCAACTTTTGTTCTTTATCTTATCAATGCAATATTAGTTTTTAATTGAGATGATGCTAATGGCACTTTTTCATTTTTTGTCAAAATGTTTTTATGAAATGCTATTGTGATTTTTCACTTTGTATCCCCTTTTAATTATAAACATAAATTTTTGGGAAGTCAGATAATTCTTAAATAGATCATTTTGTCCTTTGGTGATCTTAAATAGCATTTGACATGGTATAAAATTCCTGTCGCAGATGTAAGTTTGACTCATTTTATATTGCCAAATTTTATGTTTAGTATTAAACCATGTATCATTAAATCATAGTATTGATAATGAGTTAAACTTTCATAAAGCATTAATAGTATAGGAGGTTTTCATTCATCTGGTGCCACTGGGGAACAAAATTTGCTGAAGAAATGAGTTTTTTTTTTTTTTTTTTAACTGAAGCTTACTTGTTTAAGCAGAAAAACTTAAAAAGTTGCTACAATTTTTTTTTTTTTCGGAAATATTTTACCTGCTTTTTTAAGGAGCAAGAGTGGAGTGGCCGTATACTCTTTTTTTTTTTTTAATTTTAATGTCATGGGATATTCTTAGTGCCATGAAGTCAGTGTCTGATTGGTATTTGTTCTCCAATATAAGAAGTGTGCATGTTCCCCCACCCCCTTTAGTCTGGTTTTTTCCTTTTAAAATGTCACACCTTTGACACCCCAGATTCTGTAACTTACCCCATTTAAATGTTCCAGTGTTTAAGGTCTGTGGTAATACTTGTGATAATGCTTTAACAGGTTCATGAACTCAGGCACCTATGTTAGACATTTGGCTCTGTGTAGGCTCACTGCCATCTTTTGGTAGACACCTGGGCACAGCCTCTGGACATCAAGGAGACCCTGTCGGTGCTTTGGTATTAGCACTTTAAATTTGGAGGTTTTATTCTTTCTGCTTCTACTCTCTCCTTACTAGCTAGTGCTAGTGGTCCAGAAATGTTTGTCTTCCCATGTGTGCTTATGAACTTCTGCAGTGTCTGAGTGACTACCTGCAGTGTCTGAGTGACCACCTGCAGTTTTATCTATGTTTTGCTAAAATGGGCAAATAGTATATTTCTGTTACATTTTAGCAAATTCTATTGTAACAGCAAAGTGGGTATTTTTTTTTCCAACCTCGTGACTATTTGCTTCAGCCAGTGTTTTCTAAAACAAAACTCAGGCACAGTAGAAGTTTTTGAACTACTCTTTAATGTGCCGTAATGATATTTGGTTTGAATATTATTTAAAAATGAGTTTTTCCCTTTTTGTTTGTATCTAATGGGAATCATCTTTGTTCCAGGTTGTGCTTCAAGAAGAGTACAGGGAAGAATATATTTTCTTCTTGCCACAAAGTTGCAATAGAAGTAAGTGGGAATTGCCAGGATATGTCTGTCTCCACAAAACAAGCAGAACAAATTTCCATGAATCAAAGCCACTAAGTATAGTTTTCAGAGATGGTAGGACATAGTTACTCTCCCTAGAAAAATACCCGAAATGCAGGCACGCCCATTGGCCACTAGAAAAATGCTCAAGTAAATGCTAGTTCAAACCTGTACATTCCACTCTTCGTGTTGAGCTATTAAAGGGTTGGAAATCTACTACAGCTATAATCTTTTTTTCCCTTTTTCTATTTTTCGACCTCCCACATGCTTGGTGTTCAGTTCTGCTTACTGAGTGTCTTGAATCTATAGCAGCACCTACACATACTGCCTCCACAGTGGCTGGTGATTAGCAGATAAGTTGTGATTCACACCCATAAGAAACATCTGTAAAATAAATCTATGTCACAATACATACCGTAGATTAATAATGAAAAAGGGCAGAGTGATGAAGAATCAGAAAGCATTTTTTTCCCCCCAATATTGATGTTGCTTTCTTTGAGGTTATGTGAGTAAAATATTCTTTAGAGAGAGGTTTATATCACATTCCATCACTTAGTGAAATATTATCTCATGTCATTTGTACAGGAGCCTTTTAGAGACCTTTTAAGGATACATAGAGCATGTATACCTTAGTGTGATTAGGTTGGAGGAAATTAAGCTAGATAGTAGATATTTGTGATGTAATATAGCAAGCAATGTTTAACTGCCTTTTATCTATCTGTCTTTAAGTTTCTGACGTAATTTTCAAAATTCTCTTTCATTCTTCCCTCAGTTTCTTTCTAGAAGTTTCCATCATTTGAAGGATTAATGCCTATCACTTTGTTGAACTTGGACAGTGTTTGAGAACTCATTGAGCATTGCTTTATTAAAGCAGAAGTCTCCAATGGGCCTTAAAAAATTAAGCTTTGCATAGCTCAGTCTCTGAATTTACCTCTTACCCATAAAACCTGTGGGGATCTCAAATTCATATTTGGAATACAAGTGAATGATGAGAAAAGGGCAATACCCTGTGTATTTCAAATGCATGTGTACATCCACCTTTCCTACCTATGCCTGGTGGATAGGGGGCTACAAATGAAGATTATTGAATTTAAAATGCTGGAAGATTTGAAGATTACCTTTTTCCTTAAGAAAAGTGATTTATACTGCTAAAAGAGTAAATACCTTATTTTTATTTAAAAGCATTCATGATTTTATCTGTACAACACACTGCTAAGATTAGTACTGTTACTCACTTTAAAGAAGATGAGACTGAGTCCTACAAAGTTAGGTAACTTGTTCAAGGCCATCCAGCTAGAAAGTGATGGAACTGAAGTTCAAACTTACACCTTCTCTGGCAAATATTGTTTCTTACTTTACATATAAGTGAAATAAACACTCGTGCATGCATGTGTAAATGTGCAAATATGTATACACAATACAAGTGCTCATTGGTATTCAGATATCAAGAAAAAAAGCTTTTTTTCAGTTCACTCATTTCTCAGAGAACTATTTGAATCTTTTTCCTTTGAAACACAATTTAAGTAGACACCATGACTGAGCATGTGCAATACAATTTTATTAGTGAAAAGCATTATTGAGTCATTGAGACTAATAATTTTAAGGAACAACATTATTTAAGAAAGCAATATGCTATTTAATGAGTGGTATTTACTTTACTCATAAAAGAAAATTCAAACATCTGGAATATTTTTTAAGCAATCTAATATTCATTTACAAAATGATGTTTCTGCCTTATGTCTTACAGGAAATAGTATAAAATTTGAAATGTATGTGAAAGTTTTACATTCATACAGATTATTTCACTGAGCACATTAACAAAAATCATATTATTAAAATGAAAAATTGCTTAATAGCCAAATTCTCAGTGATGAAATTTTACTATTAATAAACCCATTTTTTTTTTTTTTTTTTGCTACTTTATCCTTCTTAGGTTTCTTGTATAAAGACATTTGTAGAATCCTTGGTGGTTAACAGATATGTAGCTTTACTCAACCTTTTGATATTCCTTTGGGGGTGGGATATTGACAGTAGTGGGGAAGTCATCAAGGTATATGTAGTGTCTCAAAAAAATCTTATGCTTTAGTTTTTTTAAAATTTTTTCTTTTAATTTTCTTTGTAGTTGTAAATAGACCTTTATTTATTTATTTTTAATTATTTATATACGGTGCTGAGAATTGAACCCAGGGCCTCACACATGCTAGGCAAGTGTTCTACAACTAAACCACAACCCTAGCCCTTAAGTTTTTAATACTGGAAAATTGAGATTCAAATATGAATGACTTTCTTTAAAATATAGATTCATTAAGGGCAGTGATAGCTGATAAATTTAAAGATGGATTAATATGAAAGTTATAGAATCTGAACATTTCCAAACTGGGAGGGACCTTACAAATGAAGAGCTCTCAGTGGAAATCTTTATTAGAAGATGAGATCAGTGACTGTAAAACAGGGCTTCAGGTCAAGTAGGTTCTTGGGTCACTGAGTCAGGCTCACAGCTTAACCAACCAGGATTGTGAATGATCACAGGAGGAGAAGGCTTTTGTATTCTTGGGGTAGGACACAAAGCTTAGGGTTATGGAAGAGAGTAATCTGAGGGCATGAGGAAAACAAGCAAAAAATAAAGACACTTTTTTTTTTAATAAAAATATTGATTCCAAAAATTTAAGACTTAATGTATTTTTAAAAAGATAGGATTTCTTTTCTCCTCCTCCTACTGTGGGGATCTCAATATGCACTCTGTGATATCAGAACATTAAATTATGTAAGCTGATATCTCCCCCTCCCCCCGACCCCCAGGACTTTGTGCTTGCTAGGCAGGCACTCTGCCACTTATCTACATCCCCAGCCCCTGAGATGTCTGTTTTTTATTTTAATTTATGTGTATGTTAAAAACATACGTATGTGTATATACATACACATATAATTATTTATTTATTATTTTTATGTTTTTCAATGTAGGGATTGAACTCAGGGATGATCTACCACTGAGCTACATCCCCAGTCCTGTTTTGTTTTGTTTTGAGCAGGGTCTCCCTAAGTCCCTCAGGTTTCCCTCAGGTTTTCCTCAAACTTGAAATCCTTCTGCCTCAGCACCCCAAGTAGCTGGAATTACACACCTGCACTACTGTGCCCAGTTTAGGATGCATATTTTTAAAAATTACACATGACTAAATTATTTGTATTTTCTTTTTGAGAATAAAATTTAAACATTTAAAGAATTTTCATATATATCTGCAAAATATGTTTTTTTTTTTTTGTATTAACTCTCAAGGTTTGAATGGTCCAATGAGTATTCTTATCATTGAGGCATTCTATGGAGGTTCCCATAAACAACTGGTGGATCTGCTCCAAGAAGAGCTACAGGACTGTGTTCTTTATACCCTTCCTGCAAAGAAATGGCATTGGAGAGCACGGACAGCAGCTTTGTACTTCTCTCAGAACATTCCCGTCAGTGAGCATTACAGGTAATCAGAGCTCAGGAGGCATCATCAGCTTGTTTTTAATGTACCTGTTTTCAGGATGTTGATTCTCTATCAGCATCTTAAAATTTCTTCAACTCTATAATTGGTTATAATGACTGCAGTTGGTATATGTTTAGAGACAGAGAAGCAGTGGAATAAACTCACACTCTCAGGACACCTGGTTATTAGGAAAGTGACTTCATTTAGAACCTACAGTTTTTTCTTTTATCTTGTGATTTTATTCTGTGTGCATATGTTGGTGTGGGTGACAATTTTTGAACTGAGATGAAAGTTGATCTTGGGCATGTTGTTTTTTGCCATTGTTTGTTTTTGTTCACTAATCTCCAATGCCTTTTTTTTTAGTAAGTATACAGTTTCAGTTTAGTTTATTATACTATTCTGCACTAGGACCCAGGGTTGAAAAGATGGATGTGACTAGGGATTTAAAGACTATTAAGATAGACATAGATATACAAGTGCAATGTGAGTATGAAAGTTGGAGAAATTGATTTTGTCTGTGAAAAACTGAAGGTGGATTTATGCAACTGGTAATATTTGACTCAGCCTTGAAGGTTGTGGAGATTTTGTAGTATAGACCTCAATTCTGAATTGTGATTTGTTAGAAAGTGGGAGGTAGGAGGATGTATTTGAAAGAGGCTTATGGAACATACTGAAAAGATAGAGGAGAACTACTAATTACATTTGTAGGGGTAACAGATAGAAAGGAAGAAAAGGAATCCCCTTAAACATTTCTCTCCTCTTAGTCTCTGCCCTCCCACATGTCTCCCTAAGGTTAAATAGTAGAAGATTGTCTGACTGGTTTACAGATGTGAAGATCTTGCCATTCTGGGCCCCACTGTGTAGGGCTCTGTTGCTTCAGGTAGGAGAGAGCAATGCCACACTGGTAGTGATGTAGTTAGAGACAGGTTGTTCAAAGGGCATGCTGCAAGCTGCAGTGGATATCTTGGTTCCAGCAGCTATATCCATCTGCTGCATGTGATGTAGATCAGCTACAAAAAGACAGCAGCTTGTAATTTTGATGTAAGTTTCTGTTCTTAGTAGTGAAATTTGGTAGATTCAGAGAATAACTCACTTTATGAATGAAAACCATGCATTGTCTCTGAGAGTTCAGATTGTTGGAATAGCAGTAAGTACTCACATCACATTTTATTTTAAAGATAAAAGTGCCATTTTAGTGCATATTGAGGATTTTGTATTTTTCTAATCTAAAATGTATTGTGGCTTGCATAATTTAATGTTCTGATATCACCAAGTGAATATTGTTGATTCACTAATAGTATGAGAAATTTTAATGAATGTGTTGATATAAAAGTTGTAAAGACAATGGTAACACTATTGCTGTATGAAAATCTGACTGTTTATAGTTGTTTTCACATCTTATTTAATTGTATTCTTGTAGCACAAATTGTATTATAAATACTCAAGGTCAAATATTACAGTAGAGTTATTGGCACATTTTCATTTGACCTTACTATTGGAAATAATAATTTTCCACTGTCATTTGAACATTAAAATGTACCTTTTCTCTATCTGCTGTTTGATTTCATTTTGATTATTCAGTACTGCAGAATTAAATTATTGCATCACAGACGTCTTTACATTGGGAATGCGCAAGCAATTCTTTGCATGTGGCTTTCATGCTATCTTGGAAGACTGAAGCATTTGAGGATAAATATCTCAATAGTGTTTGAAGCAGTCTTACGTGGGAGGTGGATTACTGAAAGATCATTGTGTAAAGTTTTATTCTCTGAAAGCTGAAACCTCACTGCCTAACAATAGTATCTGTCATCTTTCAAAGTCAACCGTTTAATCTGCTCAGTTATTTGTATTAATCTAATCAGACTTCACCCAAATACATACCTCGCCAATTTAACTTACAGTTCTATTTTACCAAAGATAATTCATCTGTTCTTTACTAAACAACTTTTTTGAATATTTTTGGGAAAATAGCAGCAGATTGAAAACTTAAAACTAGATTAAAAATTATGCTTACTCTATCCTAGACTGAAGTACACGAATGACCTTTTGTTATGCCAGATAAATCTGATTACAGTGGAAGCTTTTAAATATATGAAAAATATTTGCTTTCTTGTTACTTACTCTTCTTGTACATTTGGTAAATAAACCCACAAAAATTCATAAAGGTAAAATAATTAAGTATCAATATTGTCTAGTACGCAAATTGCTCTGAACTAATAAGAATGTGTCTGGTGAGAAAGCTCTTTAATATAGGTGTGTTCATTATTTTTCTCAGCTTCTGTACATGCAGTTGTTAATTTTTATGTTTATTATACAGGATATATTTTACTATTAAGAGAATAAATGATTCAGCCTAAACAATCATTTTGATTTCATTTTGTCTTAACTAAAAGAACACATCACGATTCACATTAGAGCTATTCAATTTGATTTTAGATTACAAAAGCTCAACAAGTTATTTGTCTTAAAAGTAGTTGATAATTATTGTAAATTCTTAGGTTATATTGAAGCATTGCTTTTTGGAAACTTACAAAATGCACAGAAGGTTTCTGAAGATGGGGGCTTGAGGAAAGGCCTTAAATTTTGTGTTTTGAAATGTATGAGTCATTTGTATTAGGATTAAGCTTTCTCACTTTCTTAGAATGTACCTTAGACTAAGCTTCAAGAATAGTTCATTTTTCTTTCTGTAGTATCTCTAGATAACCAAAAGAATCACTTATTTAATTTTTTTTTTTACTCTGGTATGCCTATAATTATGTTTTGTTCTGTCTGAGATATTGTGGAAGATACAGGTCATTGTCCACTTAACATTTTTTTCTTTCTTGTCAATAGAATGCCAGTTTTCTTTGGGGTGGCTAAGTATCCAGCCCTTGGGAATGAAGCATGATTGAGCCCAATTGGTTGTGATAATTTCATTTGTCTTTGGCCAAATTTCTCTGATGTTCTTGCAACTAGGGTTGGTCAGACCACAAGTTATGGCAAATTAGTGTTAAGTCGATGGATGACCTCTGGGTGTTCTTTAAGCAAAGTGTTTTCTTTCTTTCTTTTTAATTTTGCTTTTAAAAGGGGAGCACCACCTCCTCTTTCCTGCAATTGACTCCTGTTGTAATGTCTGTAATCATGAAATTCAAGCATAAGAACAAAACATCAGGATTGTCTCTATAATGGCCGACAGAAGCCTGGAAAGAGGTGGCCTAGACTTCAGTTTTGCATAATATCACTACCAAGTCACTTGAAGAACTTTGCCTCTAAAACATGTAGAAATTCTTCACAAAACATAACTCTGTGACTCTTCCTTTAATTGAGAGAGGAGTACTGAAATCTCTAACTGTAATTGTGGTTTCGTGTATTTTTCTTTCATGGCTATCATGTGTTTTGTTTTTCCTTATTTAATATAAAAAATAAAAATTGTACATATTAATAGGGAACCATATATACACGTTATGTGTATATATAAAAAATAAAAATTATGTGTATAAATATTACATAATGTGTATATATATACACATTATGTAATATTTAAGTCAGGTTAACTATACTTATTCCTCAACATTGATCATTTCTTTATGATGAAAGCACTTAGAATCCTTTACCTCTTATTTATTAAAATATATAGTATATAATTTTTTTAGTTGTAGTTGGATACAATATATTTTAATTAATTAATTTTTTTTTTAATGTGGTGCTGAGGATTGAACCCAGGGCCTTGCCCGTGCTAGGGGAGCACTCTACCGCTGAGCCACAATCCCAGCCCCAGTACATAATTTTTATCCATGGTCATTATCCGAATAGCACACCCAAACTTCTTATATCTATCTAAAAGAAGCTTTGTGTATCATTTTTCAGAAGGCTGTTCAAGACATATTAAGTGACAAAAAGGTAAGGTGTAGAACATTGTTATGTACTGTCCTTGGTATGAAGAAAGAGAGGTGTAGGAACAAACAGAAGAGAGTATACTGTAAAGGAATAAAAATAGTTGCCCGTGGAGGAGTGTGATAGAAGCAGTCAGTGTCCCACCTACGCTCTTTGGACCTTTCCTTGGCCCAAGTGTAATGCTTGTTTCTGTTATCTGCAGCTCTTTGCCTTAGGGAGCAGCTGCTCTCTCCCATATGCAGAAGGCTGGGAGCAGCCCTCCAGGAATGATCCTCACCTTTTATCAGGAAATGTGATACTGCATATCACAATGTGTACTGCATCCAGAGTGACAGACACATTTATATCATCTTTAATAATTTATTTTTAATATTTTTTATCTGGGATAATACTAAAATAATAAAATATATATATATATTTTTATAATGGGATATGCAGGATCCTTCAAAACTGTAGCTCAGGAAAGAGCCCCTCTTATTGGTCTAGCAGTAGTCTGGGACTGAAACAATAAGGAAAAGAGAGGAAGATAGTGAAATTGAAAGCAAATATATAAGGGAGATGAACAAACTCAAAATTAGTTACTTTGAAATCACAAAGTGGATAGACCACAGGCATGATTGATTGTTTTTAAAGACACATAATTTTTGGGGAAAAAAAAAGAATATAACTACAGATATAGTGTTTTTACAGACACACACTTTTTGGAAGAAAAAAGAAAATAACTACAGATATAGGACAGATCAATAAAGATGGGAAATACTTTGAATACTTTTATGCTAATACATTTAAAACTTAGAATGGACAATTTCTTAGAAAATCTTATCTTTACAAACGTCACTCAATATGAATAGACATCTGAATGAATCTATAATCATTAAACATCAGTAAGGCAAGGGTTGGGTCCTTGGACTGTGTTGATTTACTGTCCCTATGCCATTGTCCCTTCTTCCAAACTTGGGTTTAATGAGGTCCAGTGTCTTCTTTTTAAGATTTTCTGTTTCATTGCTTCCCCCATATAATCTTTTCTTAATGTCCATGGAGGAGGAAAGCAAATAGTGGATAGAAAATAAATCAAGTGAAAATTCAAGCTGATAAGTATTGCATAAAGTGAAATTAAAGCTTAAAGTGAT